CCACTTTTTTTTTTTTTTTAAATCTAAGGTCTTCATCTCATGTGAGTTCACATCATTTTAAAGTTAAGAATTACAAGAATCTACACATAAAGAACAGAGTTTTAAATAAATGTTTAAAAGACACTGTATGTAAGCATTAGCATTTCGCTAAATCCGTTACCTTAAATGTTACGATTACTTCAGTTTTTGGTTAATATATCTTTAAAACTGCTGTGGCAGCCTTTGTGGTACAGTCCTTGGCACTGTCTTCAACTGAAAAGTGAACCATGACACATTCCTCCTCTTTAGTTGCACAATAGGTTTTACTCAATATCAGCTGAAAGGCACACTTCGAAAATCCACTGGAGAACATCTATCCACCAGTCTAGACAGCTTTGGCTGTACTGTTTTTAACATTGCCTTCTGTAAGGATGGACTAATTCTAAGCTTGCATTATATTTAGTGTGGATAGCATGCAAATTAGAATATACTGTAGGGTGGGTCTCTTACGATTCAGACACACCCACATCTTTCTCTCGGAGTTGAGACAAAACTGCCCAAAAATACTGTTAGAAAACACATCAGGATGTCAATAGTTACGTTTTCATCCACTTACTTTAATGCGAATTTTGCGATATCGCTTAAAAAAAAAAAAAAAGTTACAAAAAACTCTGAATGGAAATGCCAAGATGAAAACTTTTGCGCTCAATAAATTCCTTGATGCACATTATGCAATATTCTTATTTCTGCATAAGTTAAATTTGCAAATTTGGATGGAAACATAGCTACTGATAAATATGTGCAACAATAATTATATTAGATTTTATATTAAGCAATTTATTTTTTATTTACTGCTGACAAAATAATACAAAATAGGATACTTTTTTTAAATGTAAACTCGATTCTTATTTGATAAGGATTGTTTCAAAATGTACAACAAATTTATATTACACAAAATATGTACATACTAATAGTAAGTGCTTTTAAACATAACATAAATTGGTTTTCACACCAAAAAAAATGATCAAGGTTTTCCATCCTTTCCACCTTCACTGGTTTGGCTTTTTTGCATGTCTTTCATCAGCGTGACTCTCATGTTGTCCACCCATGCCTGTTTATGTTTGTTTCTTGTGTCTTTTTTACGCTTCTTCTTTGTCGACTGATTCTGATTGGCTGCTTGTGGTGGTCTGACCGCGTTTTTTCCCTGGCGTTGCTTAGGTCCTGTTCCAGCTTTTGGCTGTATGAGAATAAAGTATACTTAATAAATTATGACATAAAACCATTTGGATAGTAGTATCTATGTTACTAGTTTATCCAAGTAGACTTAAGGTTGTTGTTTTAAATCCCAATAGTAGATGGCCATGAACTGGAGAATTACAGAGATCTCTTGAGTTGTAAATCCACGTCCAATGTCCCAGCATGCTTTAGGACATGCATACAGTAGGCATGTCACCACAGGACAGTGTGAGCACGGAGCTCAATGGTTTACAAACGACACACATCCCAGGTTCTGGCGTACGTTTTGAAATTATAAGCGTCATGTTTCCTCAGGCAGTGCTTCATTCGGGACCAACGCGATGATGTAAGAGTATTACAAAGTGTGAAGTAGGATGGGTTTGATCTCTTTACGACCTGTCCTGACACATATCCCAGTCGCAACAGCCTCAGACCAGTGAATTACAGAACATCCACAATCTAAATTTACTTTAAGTAAGTTTTGCAAGTATGAGCAGTGTTTGCTATGGTAATCACTATGATAACTCAGAAACAACTTCGAAATGAAAAGAAATAAAAGATAGATACTATTAAAGATAAGTACCTTTTTTCACCATCAACTGTTACTCAAACAGATTCATAGCATGACAGATAGTCCTGTTAGACAGAATGGGTGTGGTAACTGTGCAGGAATGTTATTGAGACATCATGAAAAAGTGTCCACTCTGACTGTTTATGTTGGCTGTGAGTGTGTGTATGCAAATATATGGTGCATCTCTCTGAAAATAACTTTGAAACAAGACTCAAATCACCAAATCTTATAACCCAATACACCACACTAACTCTGGAAATACTGCATAAAGGAAAGTTGCAGGCTAAATTCAAACCCAAATTTCCCAAATAAGCACCATGATTCAACATGTCCGCAGCACACATGCTCCACACTTGGGGCTACATTTCAAAGTGAAAATATGGTCATACCTGAGGGGGTGGACGTGGGGGGAAGGTGCAGGGTGGTCTGACGTGTTTTTGGTGAAATGGCAGGACATGTGAGGGGTCCAGGGGAACCCAGGGAATCCCTGGAGTCACAGCTGGGGGTCCGCAGTGCGCGTTCTGCAGGTGGTACACATTGCGAGCAGCCTTGGTCTCATCGCTAGCTTTAAAGATGGTCACGAAACCCTCACGAGGTTTGTGGACTAAGAGGTATCGTCCTTCCTGTAATCTGGGGCAGGTGTTAAAAGAAATTTTTATAAAAAAAAAACAGCACAGTGACGGCTGAAAGGAAATTTGTAGTTGATGACACAAGCTTTCTAATGCAAACAAAATGATGGTCACATCCTTGCAAATATTGAAATACAGGCTCAATACCTGAAGCTGATGCATGTCATTTTTAATGTTAAAATGCTTTCACATATCCTAGCTTAATATGCAGAATTACAAACTTTTAAAGACTGATTGAAAGACTGATTTCACATTAGGAAATGGAAATCTTGCTAAGGGTAAAGTAACAACTTTAAATAGATCTAAAAAGTGAAAGGAACTCACGATGAGACTTTTTTCAATAAGTGGTAGAGGGTGTTTAAACATCTAGTTGGCCTGGAAATAAATATTGAATCACATTAAATTACATTAAAAATTGACACAAGAGATATAATACTAATATAAATTAATATTGAAAATATAAATACATTTTAAAATTAATAAACAATAATATAAATTATAAAAAAATATATAAATAATTATAAATTAATATATTATTACAATATTTCAGATGAGAATCTGTGAAAATTGGTCAAACATGTAGACATTATATAATAAAATAACAACAGGGTAAAACGCTCAAATCACGGTTAGGATTTAAAAAAAAAAGATTTATATAGAGCTTCACTCACTTGAAGTCACAGGTAACGTTCTGAATCCAGTCGTCGGGCAAATTCTGCATCTGCGCCACTTCTGATGTGTGTGCATTGATGCGACCTACACACACAAATGTCAAACAGTTTCTGAACAACTAGCCTTTAAATGGACATACTACCACAGGTAGACTGCTCATTTTATTTTTTTGTAAGTCTTTAATCTCATCTGATAATACTTCCATTCATTTTCCGTAGTGTTGGTTAGGCTACATTTCTATTTAACAGTCAATAGCTAAAGAAGTTAAAGTCTGCAGAGCCATAAACCAGCTCACAATCTGAAGAACATCTAAATCAGTGTCAACATGTGGTGCATAAGGACACGCATTGACCTGCAATACAAACTGAGGCTGTGAGAAATGTTGTGAATGTTGCAATAATTGTTCACACGTTGTGTCTGTCTGCTGTATCTCTGCCCTTTTCATACTGAGGGTGTCATTCTGAGTTCATGCCAGAAGAAAATTATCTCCACACCCATACTTGTTCATCTGTGTATGGGAAACACTGCTTTAGGCCAAAGAACACAAAACTATACTGAAACAGAGGACATGATGACATTTCACCAATTATTCTTCAAAATCCAGAGAGGACGAACAACAATTGGAACAGGTTATAACTATAAATTAATAAATGAAAAAAGGAAAAAAAAAATCTTTTTTTTAAAGAAATTAATACTTTTATTCAGTTTGGATGCGCTAAATTAATCAAAAAGTGACAGCAAATACACTTTTAAAGTTGCAAAAGATTTCAAACTTTCACACTAAAATTTTTTTTTATTTTTGGACCATGTGACATAGAAGACTGGCGTAATGATGCAGCTTTGCATAACAGGAATATTTATATATATATATATATATATTCAAATAGAAAAGAGCTATTTTTACATTGTAAAAATGTCCACATTACTGTTTTTACTGTCATTTTACTGAATTAAATGCAGCATAGTTGAGCATTAGAGACTTGAGGATGACAGAATAAAACGTAATCACTGCTTCTTGTATTAAGAAAAGGTTTGCTTAATTGTATGGAAAGTGCACTTCAAATCTAACTGTAGTGTGTTTATTGATATTACATTTAAAGTCAATATATTTTAAATGTACTAATTTGCAACTTCATCATTATAAATGTTTAATTACAAATATATTGAAATAAAAATTACATGAAAGTATATTTTAGTTTACCATAACTGCTTGTCGGTACATTCAGCAGAACACATTAACCAGATTTCAAAGACAACAGAAGTCATTTTGAAATAAAATATAAATTTGTGCTTATATTGTCTTACGACTTATTGCAATAATCTGCCTCAGTAAACTGCTCAGCTCAAGTCTTCTTAAACCTTGCGAAAATATGTCCAGACTCATGGCTGTGAAGATACCAGCCCGTTCTGTTATCAGCAGGGCTGGATCCTGGACTAGACCCAAAGAAAAGACTAGATTCCTTTAAGCCTAGAAGAATCTCTAAAGCAAACCATACGCCGAGAGCGAGGTTATTCTGCATTCTTCTGTGATTCTTTTCACCTGCAGGCACAGACTGCTGTCAGGCACATTGTGGGCATTCTTAAAACCACTGTCAGTGTTATATAGGCTTCCAAAAAATGGATAAAAACACTTTTATTTTGACCAAATTCTTCAAACTTCAGCAGTCTCCTTCCCTCTTTCTCTCATAATGGTGAAACCTAAGTAGCCCTCCACCCACACCGATGTGTCACACATGCGATTGCATTCTTCTGCAGCCCTTTCAAAGTTGAAATGTTAGTAGCTATGGCAACCCTGACTCAAAACAGTGAGTCATGCATCATGAGAGAGGCATGCTGGGAGTTTGCGGGAAGTTCACTTTTGTGCTGACTCCCCTTGTTACTAAAACTACCACTCCAAATACAATATGGATACTTCTGTTTGAATTTGCTTCATTCATTCATTTAAAAAAAAACAACAACAACTTTATATTATACTTGATGGAAATTTGTTATTTTCACTTAAATTACGTAAAAAAAGTTTTTTTTTTTTTGTGTGTGTGTTTCTTTTGATCAGGTCACGTAACTGGCTCGACTGCAGCAGAAGCCCGTCAATTTTCTATCTGTTCCAATCCAAAAAAATATTTAGATCACCTCTCAAAAGAATAAAACAAAGATATGTGAACAAAATGCAAGTTTTGGCCATTAGCAATCCATATACAGCACCCGCCGCAACATTTCCTGTAAGGGTGTGACGTCACGTGAAAACTATGCATTTTTAGCAAAAACTAGATTCAAACAAGAAGTAAAATACTGTAAAATTGTAGTATTTAATTAAGATAAAATGATTTATACAAATTATACCAATATAACAAGCATGAAAAATGCTTTAATTTGATAATGCAAATGAATCGCTGAAGCAGTTAGGAATTGATTCATCAATTTTTTATCTACATATATTTTTACTACATTTTCAAGGACGAAAAATACTTTGATTCAATGATTTGTTTGCATTATCAAATCAAATTAGTTGAATTAGTATTGAAGTGATTCATACATTTTTTATCTACATATATTTTTACTACAACATTTTAAAGCTTGATGCAAAAATGTTTAATATGATTTGGTAATGCAAACAAATCATTAAATCAGTTCAATTATTTATGAATTCATGAACCAAACTGATTCTTATTAAAAGCCCATTGCTTTTTTAACGCTGTAATACTACATATTTTCTTTTCTACAGGTGAATATGATCTTTTTTAAATACTCTCACACTACATATTTTCTTTAGGTCAGGTGAATCTGATTTGATCAAACAGATTCATGACAGAATTACAGCAGATTCACTATCAAAATGCATAACCGTTCATGACAGCTAAAGAGAAAGCAAACATTTTTCATCAGGTCTCTTACTTATGAAGGACACGGTGCTGGAGTGCAGAAGTTTCTCGGCCCACAGCTGACAAACCTCTGTGTGGGTCAGATTCTCGGCTCCGTAGCACAGCTGATACTCCAGCTTGGGTAAAACATGCACCGGAACGGCCTGGATGAGAGCAGATTCAATGATTACCCACTCAAACGGCAGTTATGAGTCACTGTTTTCCATAAACAGATGCAGAAGAGTAAATCCTGTGCTGCTTTTTTCAGGGCAGAAAGTTGAGAACCACTGACTGGAAAGAATTGGTTAATACATTGATGAGATTTAAAACTCAACTCTACGGCACCGCACAGGAAAGCAGACTGTTTAAAGAAAGGGAGTGGTGAACATTACTCAACCCTGGTTAAAATATAAAGATTAATGCTTGGCATATTGACATACTGACTCAAATCCAATAAAGAGCTGCTAAAAATCACAGACGATGATAACTAATAATTATAATAAGATGCACTGTGATTGTTTACACAAGAACTGACGAGTCTGATGTTGTTTGGAATCTCTCAACCTTGACTTTTGGGGCGTATCCTTCAACTAGGGCCAAAATAATCAACATTTTCACAAAAGGAGCATTGTGTTTGTGTATTAGCATGTGTCCAGCTCACCCTGAAGGTGTCTTTGTCGTGTCTGGGGTGAGCGATGTCCACACTGCTGCGCACCATGAGCAGAACATCCAGCAGGCTGTAGAGTTTGTACAGAACGCTGCCCTCTGCTGGAGGATCGTAGTCCATCTCATCCTCAGCACTGACCTGAAGATCCTCCTTTAGAAGACCTGCGAGATAGATGGATAAAGATTTCTGTATAAGAAACTTTGACTAAAATAAATGGACTTAATGCAAAAAAGAATAAATAAATAAACAAAATAAAATACAGCCCCTGTAGATCATATTAATATTATTAAATGCTAGCATTATTTTGTTTTTTGCCTTACATGTGACACAGATGTTTTTTTTTTTGAATGACAGCGTGAACAGAAAAAAACTGAGATTTGAAAATAATTACATTCTTTCTATCCATACATAATAAACCGGGCACAAAATGTATTAGACGTAATCTTGCATATACATTTGTTACATTATTCTAATCTATATACCGCAAGTAAATATTTGTTAACATATGTTATTTTTGTGCCAATTTATTGTTATTTTTGTGCCAATTTATTGTTATTATTGCATGTTTTTTGTGTGACACTTTTTGTGCTTCAATGATAATTAAATATGATCATACAAAGACTTTTGTTACAGTTACTGAAAAAAATAAATGTATTTTTAATTATTAAATACATTTAAGTATTATTTGAATATTTAAACCTAAAATGTAAATAATAATGTAAATAATTATTAAAATATATTATATATTTTGATAGACTTATAGTAAAATATAGTAAAATGGACTTCACACATCAGGTGTATTTCCATTGCCTTCATTTCTAGAAGTTTATGGATATGGCTAGGTTTTAGAGCATCACCTTGTTAATGAGTATCTGATATGGGCCATATTTAAAAGTACATTTGAATAACTTCACAAAAATATAACCCGAGCATGACTGTGGCCACACTAAACGTAGCCTTTGCCTCTGAGAGGGTGTTTTGAGCACTAACGTTTTCTTTGAGTGGCTAGCAGCACAGGAACGTCAGCAGGCAGTGTGGCGTCCTCTCCCTGTCCCTCTCTGGACTCCAGATATGAGGTCACACACTGCTTGACCAGTGAATGGGTTTTAGCTTCTGGAGGTTTGTCTTCCGGGACATGTGGCTTCACAGGCTCCTGGTTCTTGCTGGGAGTGGATTTCAGCATGGCGTCCTGCATCCGCAAAATCTGTCCGAGCTGATCGCACTCGCCGGATATTCTGGGTCTTTTGATGCCTTTCTTTGTTCCTTTGCCCAGAGGGATTGTGGGTCCTGGCGTGACTGGGTCGGGTGCTTGGGGGGAGGACACCTCTGCTGGTGTCACCAGGGTCTGAGGTCTCTGTGGGGAGAGAATGTCATCTATGACTAGTCGTTCTTCATCAGAATCCAAATCCTGGTCCGTCTTATCTTCCATCATATGTCTGGGCCGCTTGGTGGGAGGACACTGAGCAGAAGACGTTTCTATCTTCTCTTTTGAATCTTCAATCACACTTTCCTTCTCTGAAATGGCACTTTCATTCAGCGTACCGTTTCCTCCGTCAGCCAAAGAGTCGGTCTCTCCTTGGACCTTAGCCACGGTCAACTCAAGGGGTTCTGTGGGAGCGTCTTGAGATGTCGAGGTGTGTTTTGTTGTACCTAAAGAGTCTGTTGGGTTCTTGGGGCTTGGGGTAAATTGAGATGGAGATGCGGTTGGATTTGTAGAAGCTGTTTTTGGTTCATTCTGTTCCTTCACTTTCTTACTGGGCTTGTACGACTCCCCAAATGACTCCAGGTCTGTTAGATCAGTCCCAAAATCCATACCAACATCATCAAATGCAAACACACTCCTGGACATCTTGTCCTGGGCAGAGTGAATATTATTTACAATGTTTATATTTGAAATGTTTTTTTCAACTCACAGTTATTTAGGTTTACTTTATATTTATTTATTTAGCAGATATCTAATATAAAATTGTCGTACAATATAATCTAAAATGTAATAAACACAGACACACACATAATTTTTACATTTTTTAATTCACACATTTATTTATGAATCTCTTTATATATACACTACTGGTCAAACATTTGGAATAATTGAGGGATTTTTAAAAGTCTCTTATGCTCAGCAAGCCTGCATTTACCTGATCAAAAATAAAAATAGTAATATAGTAAAATATTATTACAATTTAAAAGAATAGAAATATTCTTCTATTTTTAATTTTAAAATGTAATTTATTCCTGTGATTCAAGTTGAATTTTCAGCATTACTCCAGTCTTTAGTGTCACATGATCCTTCAGAAATCATTCTAATATGCTAATAATATGCACATAAAAAAAATTATTTATTCCAATCTTTTGAGCATTTCTGTTTAATAATACAACAATAAACAGATATATAAAGTAATACTACATTATTAGAATTTTGTAATGAATTATAATCACATTGTGTATATATATATTTACATTTTGCAGACGTTTTTATCCAAAGCGACTTACAAATGAGGACAATAGAAGCAATCAAAACTAACAAAAGAGCAACAATGCAAATGACAAGTCTCGGTTAGCCTAAAAGTAGATAAAGTAGAATTAAAATAGAATAGAGAGTGCTAGAGTTAGAGGGTCAAATAAAGATGGAACAGATGTGTTTTTAGTCGTTTCTTGAAGATGGCTAAGGACTCATATATATATATATATAACAATTTGTAATATAAAATTATATAATATAGTATAATAGTTAATGGCCAAGGACTCATATATACTAATATATATATATATATATGTATATAACAATTTGTAATCTAAAATTATATAATATAGTATAATAGTTATTATTGCTATACTAATTATTAAATATATTATATATTTTAACAACTTACTATCCAATTTGGCAGAAACAATTTCTGGTTTTGAGCTTGCATGTTTTTTTTTATATAAAACTACTTACAAGTAAAAAATAATAAGTTCTTTATGAAAGTGATTTTAATAAAAAAAGGGGAAAAAAGGAGCCAATAATTACAATAATTAATTAGTAATTAATTAATTATTAATAATTTATTAATTCATCTACAATATATTTGTCTGTTGTTAGGTCTTCTTACCGTGATAAACATCTTACCTCAGGAGGAGGCTCCATTTTAACAGGGAGCTCTTCTGAAGTGAGGAAAAACACAGGACGTGATACAGTCTTCTTGAATGCCAGCTTCATGCTCTCTTCATGAAACAGCAGACTCCTCTCTCTCCAGCTCATCTCTGTCTTCAGCAGAGAAGGATCGATGTACGCCGTCTTACTCTGACTGCTGCCTGAGAACAACCACAACATTCATCATGTGAGACTATGGACAGGATTACAATCTTATGATCTACAACGATAAACACACTTGTGGCTCATAAGTAGCGCAGAGTTTTTCCGCATTACTGTCATTGCTGATGACCTGCAGAAATGAACAAACATCAGGATTAACACAAGTATTATATTTATATTAATAAGAATTATACATACATACATACATAAGAATCAAACATATGAGAGCGGTAATTCAAACCAAATGCAGCAGTGCCCCCTAGTGGTTAAAGTCACATTTTGCAAGACAGAGACGACACTGCTGTAAATGCTAGAAGTTAGGTACATTTGTGAAACTCGCTCACTGGGTCCTTTTTTACCCGTAAAAACAAAAATGTTTTCAAAATAAATATTTTCTGCAGGTTTACGACCATGTAAAGAAATTATTAAATTGAATGGAACATGTCAATGTTCTCTAAACATGTCTTGTATTAACAATGCTTGAAAATAGAACTACACATCTCCATTATTTTTTAATTCATTTTACAAAAAATGTGCTAAAAAACAGCTCTGCCCCCAACCACTAGAATTTGAAAATAACTTTTACTGTACCTTCTGATGTTCTTCATCAGTATTTGTTTCTTGTTTTCCAGTGCAAATGTCTAAAGATTCTTGAACCAAGATTTTACTTGAGAAGCAAAACGACATATTTATTCTTGTTTTAAACATAAGTTCAATTAATTTTATTCAATTTCTCAGAAAACAAGACTTAATATCTTCTGCATCTCAAGTAAATGCATCTTGATTTAAGAATGTTTAGATATTTGTATTGAAAAACAAAACAAAAATACTGAGGAAGATATTCATGTTTTTTTCTTCAAAGTCCATGCAACATTAAATGCCATGACTTTAACAATTTAAGGCTTTTTGCTCAGATTCAGGACCTTTCAAGGCCTTATCTTGTAGAAGAGCAAATTAGACCTTTTAAGACCTGCAGAATACCTATTTAACATGATTCATATTTTTTGTTAGAGTAATATTAATATATTTGTATTGCATCATTATGACATTATTTACATGGCAATTCAGCAAGTTTCTTTCTCCCAATTGTCATTACAGCAATGATATTATACTACTACTGCTACTACTACTAATAATTGAATGGTACATAATAGTATTTATTCATGGTAGTACTTGTACTGAATTTAACTCAATTAAGCATTTAAATAAAAATGCAAAATAAGAATTTAAGTAAAAAATGTGCATAATTGCCAATTTTCATTTTGGGGTGAAAAATTACCCTTTTGTGATATTTATCCATATAAAGACCACAAACCACAAAAATGGACAGAAACACACACTAACACACACGCTAACATACAGGCTACTTACAGTGTGTCCTAAAGTTGCTTTTTTAGCAGGAGGAATCACATTTGACACAGTCTCATAGTCTACAGCAAGCTGGGTGTTTTCTGGTATCACTTTTGTGTCTAGCATGTCTATTTTACCCTGAGGAGAAAGACAGTAGAGATAGATATATCAAGCATCAGTATATCACACATTTAAGATCAAAGAAAATAAATATAGAAAAATAAGTACCATAGCAAGAAGCTGTTTCTCAAAGTTGAGAGATATTTCACCCACAAACTTTACACTGGTTAGGCTAGTAATCTCTTGAATGCTGTAAACCTGTGGGTAACTCTTCACATGTTCCAAACAGGCTGCAAAATATTCCTGTTGGGGAAAACATACAAAATCAATTAAATAAATGAAATAAATTATTTTATTAAAAATATATATTTTTATTATTTAATTAAAATCAAATAATACAAAATGTAATTAAAAACAACAATGGATTTTGTAAAAACATTTGAATAGTAAAAAATAAATAAATAAATAAAATAAAAAAGACAAGAAAAAAATACTACCTCAGTGTAGCGTGTGCTGCATGGTGGCATATAGTTGTACCCATCAGCACATGCTCTAGAAACATCTTGCAGGTATTTCATAAACTCTGTTACCTCGTTCTTCACCAGCTCCAACAAACACTTTGAAATGAGAGACAATATGAAACACATGAAAACAGCCTTCATCCATGTACCTCAATCAAAACTGCCTTACTATTAAAGCAGGCGATCAGGACGAGAGATGGTCTACCTTGGAAGCTCTGGAATAATTCTTGTGGATGAGCATGTTGAGATATAGCTTGCGATTCTTTGCATTGAGAGTGGAAAAGCAGGGGTAGGGCACTAGGGGCTCAGGGAACGCTGGAGTCGCAGTTCTCTTCACAGGTTTGGCTTTGGTTGGTTTGCATTCAGACGAGGGCTCATCTGATGCAAGGATGTTACTGACATCTGCATCTTCATTACACTTAACAGTCTTTGCTTCGGATGAGGATCCATCTGGCTTTTTCTCACCCGTCTCCTCAGACTTTGTATCAGAGCTTTGAAGAAAACAATTAAAAATCTCAATAACATACCATCATTTAAAAGGAACACTCCACTAATTTTGAAAATAGGCTCATTTTCCAACTCCCCTAGAGTTAAACAGTTGAGTTTTACCGTTTTCGAATCCATTCAGCCGATCTCCGGGTCTGGCGGTAGCACTTTTAGCTGTAGCTTAGCATAGATCATTGAATCTGATTAGACCGTTAGCATCTAAATGAGCCTATTTTCAAAAATAGTGGAGTGTTCCTTTAACCCTCTTGTAGTCTTTTGTTATTTTAGACAGAAAAAAAATAACCTTTAGATTTTTTTTTTTACTTCATTGGGATAGAAAATGGGACTTTTGTGGCATTGTCTATGTGAACATCCACTCAAAATAAAAAATATTATACACACAGACACACACATATTATATATATATATTATATTAATACATTTGGTGTCCACATTAAATTAAATTTACAAAAGTGATTTTATACACATAAAAAGCATATTACATGCAAGTAAATTGTCTACTTTAATGTTTCAAACTACTTTTCTGAAAATAAAATGTCAAAATATTGGTAAAATAATGTTCCACCAGATATATTTATGTAAAAATGAAACAACATACTTTATAAATCATAAACATCTTAAAGACATCTTCTAAACGTCTATTTGACATCTGATAGGAAACGTCCTATAGACGTATTGCAGATGAGCAAACACTCTTAAAAATACGTTTTGCAGATGTAAATGCAGACGCCAAATAGACGTCTCCGTGATGTATATGTGCTATCAGGGTTAGGTTTGTTCACTCGATAATATACAAAAAAATAACCGTGACTATGGTATTCTCAAGAAAACCATGGTTAATTTTATAGGCCATTCTTGTTGAATTAATCTTTAGAAATAGCACAGACTTTTATTATGATATTGTTGGAGTTAAGTAAACTTTGCAACCCATTTCAAACTATTTGAGTCCACATGTACGTATCTCATATTTTCTTTATATTTAACACATTTAATGCCTACTGCTTCTCCGAAAAAAAGGTAATGGCTTCCACTCCATCAAATGTAACATTAGTGTCTGTAAGTTTTGAAGTTTTCTTTTAAATGTTGTTCTGTTCCTCCACTTCCATCTCTGAAGGTTTTGTGGAAATTACTTCTACCATGAACTACATAAAGAAGTATGACACACACTGAATAAGAGCCCATTACAAGCGGTAAATTTTATTATGGGATAACAGCACATAAAGCACATCTAAAATCGATGTGTCCAATGCACTTTTAATAAAGGTAATATTAAAGGTACAGTTTCTAAGTACAATATAACAACATTCATATTAGAATGAAAAGTATTTAAAAGACAACATTAAATTTCTTATTTTTCTTTACAGCGGTATTTACAAAATGAATCAAAATACTTATTTTCATATTTAAGAATCAGACAAACAGAAGGAGCAAAACCACTATTGAGAAGAGACTATCTCCTAAAGAGAGTTCCAAAGAGCTGAATAAAAAGGTACATGATCGACTGTCCCCATTTTAAGATCAGTAGCAAACATGTGACGTAAAAATATGTGACAACCGCAAACCGTTCTCTGCTTTTGTCCCCCCTGCCGGTAAGCAGCAGCAAAATCCAACCCATCCTGCCCCAGCCCTTGTGCCCTCCCCTTCAGCTCAACAAGAAATAGAAGTGTAGTATGCATCAGTTAACATACACATATGAACACTTAAAATACATTGCATTAGTCATTTTGTTTCATATTCGTCAACTTAAAACCTAATTGGCAGGAAACAACAGGGAGAACACGGAGTGGATTGTCTATTGTCCGCCAGTTTGTCTCTGCAAATATCCAAATGGGGTTTGTGTTTAACATCCAACCAGGGTGCAACTGACTGGATGCAATGTCCCATAACCAACATGAAGTTGTTCGGAGGAAAAGAAAAAGTAGCATCTGAGAATCTCAGAAAATACAGGACATCACAGAGACAAGAAAATGCTGTTTCCATGGCTATAAACAAACATGAAATGCCTCAAAAGACGGCCAATGAAAAGTCAGTAACACAAGACAGAATTCACCTACGTGTGCAAACACAGTCATTTGAGTATGTGAAAACAAAACGGACGAATAGAGTTTCTGCATCCTGTGCCACCGAGAGGCACTCAGTGTAGTTTGCTATGTATTATTGCAAGTAGATTCTGCCTTGCTACAAAGATAAAAACAGGAAGTTTCGACAAAACTTTGTACAACCACCTTTGTCCTGTACAATTTATATCACTTAACCATTGTGTGTATATGTAAGTGTGAGTGGATTTAGGATAGAAAAAAAAATGTTTACAAAGCGCATTTTTAAAAAACAGAAGGTAGAATCAACAAAAAAAAAATGGAGGGAGCCAAATAGCGGCAGACAATCCGGTACTTTAACGTGTGTTTAAAGTCCTTCCAGCAGAAAATAAGCACTGGATTAGAAACTCCTTCAGCTACAGTTTCGAAACAATCAAAAAGAAACACAATACTGCTGCTTTTTTCCATTTTTTAAAGCATGAACAATCATCGTTGTTGCGAAAAATTCAAAATTGCGACGTTTAATAGAGATTTACTTAGCTGATACTTGCTAATAGCCTAATCTTAAAAGTGGGAAGGAAACAAGCCGCATCCCAAGACTAGCACACTGATACAGGTACTTGCTGGGTATTCGAAAGTAAATTTACCACTATCATTATCTTTATCGTTATTATCATTATTATTATTTATCAAGTCCTAATATCAATAATGCATCAATACTCAGTGAAATGAATTGACTAAGAGGGTGGCCTAGTCTATGAATCCATAATTTTTGTTCACAAAAGTAACTTACCTAGCACCACACGTCAGTATAACACAAAAATTAATGTCCGCACACCCTACCGCTAATCGAACTAAGTCTAAAAGAGAGAAGTATACTCAAAACAGAGATATTGTACAGCATGATGTGTCTGATAAAACAGATAAATATTTGCACTGAGCAGGTCTTAATAGAAGTATTTTCTTCTTACCTATACAGACAGAAGTTACAAAGTTACTTTTATACATGTGATCGATAGAACATTAAATATCGTGAATTAAAAGCCGAAAGGAGGACAGGGAAACATAGCTGTACAGTTTACAGGCCATTTGACGTTCGTAGTTCTCCACCCGGGAACAGAACTAGTCAATAAACAAATAAAACAAACAAACAAACAAAATGACAATCAGAGAGCGAAAAAACCCAAAGCGAAAAAAAATTAAACGTGATAAATAAGAAAATTTTTTTACATGCAGATGTTCAAAGCCTATGCACAAAATGAATCATAACATACTATATATTATTGCTTGACATTTGATTATGGCTAAAGACTTTTCGTTTCGTATATTATCTAAACATAGTTCACTTTTAATAACGCGTCAGCTGTGCTTTTGGATAGATAACGCTAGGAAAATGATTGACGTAAATCTTAGTAACACTTTAACCTTCAGCTTGAATGCTGTCGCAAACATGACACGTCATCGGAATTGAGAAAAAAAATATATCGGTAAATGTGACTTTCGTTCAAATGTGAGTGCATAGGCCTTGTTGCGTTTGCATAACTTTAATCGAAATTAACGTCGAGGTGCAGTGTGTCATGCTTGTACAGCCTCGCCAAGGGATTCAAGCTCAGTGCTACGTAAAACATTACATCATGGGGGAAAAAAAAAACCTTACGTTCTTACATACAATTCATCATCTCACCCTGCTGCGTCTGATCTTTTAAAGCCTTGTCTGGGGGTTTGACCTTAAGCAAACATTACAAATAGCACAAACACACACATTTCCGCTTGTACACGCTCTCGCATCCACATTCGGATCTATATTGCTTCTCACATTGATAAACAAAGGAAACCACGGTTGAAAAAGAATTTCGTTAAACAATTTACAAGGGAAAATGTATGGATCTTCCACCGATAAGAGAAACGCAGGACTTTTCCCTTTACACGTCTAAAATACCACAGATCCGGAGGCGTTTAAGTACCTTTGCTTGTATTAGAAAAAATAAAGTTCTATCCCATAGCATATTGCTTTAAAAGTCTAATACAAACTACACTGACAAAATACAACATGCAAAAAGTGGTAAAACGCGACTTTACTACAGCTTTTATGGTGTTAGAACTGACTTGAGGATCATTGGACAGGAAACAGCAAAGCTTGTTCATCAAGGGGACTCCACAGCAGTTACCCTGTAGAAACCCGTATTTGTCACGCGCGACAATTCTCCCGCGTGGACGTCTGAAGGTGGAGTAAATCGTAAAGAGGTATTTGGCACATAGACAAACAATTATGAGTGACGATTAGAACAAATCCCCATCCAGAAAAAAAAAACAAAGCTGGAAATTAGTGTAGCACGCTTGAGGTTGATATCTTGCTTTGTTGGATTTGCGGGAATTAGATCTTGGAGCTCACTGGGTGATTTGATAAAGCCAGTGGCCTACCGTCTTCTTTTGACTTGACAGCAATCATGCTAGTGAATAACATGGAAGGACATGAGCCCATAAATTGCGAAAGTTGAAAAATTAGCTTTAAAAAAAAATTATCTATAGGACCACTGAACGGTAACAGATGAGTGTTTGTTCCCATTTGTACTTTAACATCATTACTAGGTTGTTTTGGGTTCAGTCCCGTTTCTAGTGAGCTGCCTTCCTGTCTGCTTGTCTAGGAAACATCCTCCAAAATAAAACCTTCTAAGTGACTGATTTGTATCAATCTATATAGACAACAACTCTGTATGTCACACAGATAGCTCTCCTTATGAGTAACATATGGGTTGTCTCTGCTTGCAATTGATTCCAATGGAGTTTTATGTTAGCATGTTGCTATGCTAAAAGCACAATAGTTCGCCTATACACTTTGGGTAAATATGACCTTTTTAATAAGATTTAACTATTATTTATCAATTCTTTTCAGTATTGAATGAAATATATTCATATCTATGACTCCTACACCATGATGAAAGAACGTTTTTACAGATTTTGTCGCATTACATTCTGGGATTGCCTTAAAATTTGGCCAAAATGGAGTACTTTTACTTTCCACCGCTTTGAGACACATTTTGTGTCAGAAGCTCAGCTAAAATGCTGTCCAGGTAGGCAGCTCACTAGGTTTTGGAACTGACCTCATTATTATCCCTGATCAATTATTATTCAATATTACTCTCCCTGAGCCTTGTAGTACACAAACTGCTGATTTACTGTGTAAAGAACTAATTATGAACCTGGATTGTCAATCACAGATTGATGATGTATTGTAATAAGCAGGACTTCTTGGGAATGCATTGCACAGACTAATATTTTGTCAATAGTAGTGCACTATATTTCATAAAAGCGTTATTTTTTATCTGGACTCAAACATGCCATCAAGATCAATTTATTGATCTTTAGAGGCAACATAGAGCTGACTAACGTGTTTAAGCTACCGGCTTCAGAACTGAGTTAGACAGACTCTTCCCTGAGGAAAATACTTTGTGTCATGGGGAAAACAAATTACATGAAGCTACCAAGATCTACTCAAAGTTTCTCAAAATGTCAGTTAGCAGGTCGTAGATGTGATCGGTGAAGTTTTTTTCTGGATTATATTGGGATTTTCTATTCGCCACAACATAGTTTTACTGGAATGTTACAATACAACAATTTTTTTTCAGACTCAAAAAAGCAGGAAAGACCACTATGGCACATTCAAGAGACGTACAAACACACGCAACACACAACAGTTAGGTATTCCAAAAACTAGCACTATTACTACCATTGTCTTGTTCTTTGAAAAAGACAAAAAAAAAAATAAAATAATAAAAAACACACAGATTCTAATTATTGCAGGATTAAGTGCTATATCATCCTTCGTTCTTTCCCTTTTTCTTTCATAGGCTTCATAAGCACTGTACAATGTTATAAAAATAGAGGATTTCATCCAGACAAGGCTTTGAATATTTCTCTTTTCTTCCACTCTTACATTCCCGACGAGCGTTGCTGCTGGGCAAAGACCCTCACAAGAGCCAGTTTAAGGAAGATCAGCCGTTCATAAACCAGATCTAACTTTTCCACACGGTCATGTGGCACACCACCACTAGGTGGAACCATTAAACAGCATGTGACGTGTGTGGAAAAAGGGTCCGATTGCATTCAACAGCCCTTTAGACCCGGTGTGCTTAGGTTTTCTCAATGGGACGTTATTCAAGGGCGAAACAACAAGAACTACATGTTTTACCATATTTCCCATTTAAAGGTGGCGGACAATGAGTGTTTCCTACAACCCTCCCCCCAGATCATGTGATCTGCCTTTACCCAGCATCAACCTCCACATCGCGCAAATAAATACACAAACACGCACGCACGCAAACACGCACCCACCCTCAGCAGCGTTAGGGTTTCCAGCACTCGTTCTCCATAACCGTGGTATTTATACATGCAACACATCACTAGGTAAATATACAAGTCTTAAATTAAAGAAAGGTGCAAATAAAAGTGCCTTATCAATTTTTCACAATTAAGAATAGTCTAGCTACTAATATCATACAAGTTATTTAAAATAGATTCTATAAACATTTTTTTCCTGTATAGTTTGTACTTATGATCTTATACCCTGTAACACGTTAGAAAATAGGTGGAATGGACCCTTGCATTGCATTGATGTTGGTGGTCGGACCATTACGTTACGTTAACACCATTCCGGAGAGGGACTTAATAGCAGATGGCCTTAAACGATATCACTAAGCAACTATGGTAGATGGAGTCTCTGACGGCTAAAAGCAATCGCGACTAGAATTACCAGAATTCTACGTTGTTCCTTCTTTTTTTTTTTTCAATTGTCCGTAGAAAGGTGATGTTGTGTGTTGACTCTACATCACACTCCTTCTCCATATCTCTCTTTCTCTCTCACTTCGTATTCTTCTTCATTCAGTGCTGGTTTGACATCTCAAAAAAAGAAAAAGAAAAAACAGAGCGGAAGGAGCTAACAATGTATTTTTCTACGTAGACTTTTTTGATGCTACAACAACTGCTGGAACAGTTCGGATAATCGACTTCTTGATCGCAACTTTTTATTTCATGTCCTTGGCTTGGAAAGGGCTCTCCGGGACTCGTTTTTCCATTTTGGAAACAATTTATGCTGATTGTGACAAATCGCCATGGGACCGTTCTCGAAAATGAATGTGTGGACTCTTCAGGTTCAGCCAGAGAGAGAAAGAGAGCGAGGGAGCGTTCGGGAAAAACAAGTGTCTTCATCTTCTTATCCTCTCCCCTGGGCTCCGAATCCCACCTGTGTCAGTAAAAGGAGGGAACAAACCCCAAAAATAAACCACTGGAGTCAAACCCAGTCTACTACCTCCTCCCTCACGAAAAAAATAAAAAATCACAAAGAAAAAAAAGGGGAAAAGTGTGTGTGTGCAGTGTGTCGTCCGTCCAGGTGTGTGTATGTGCAGGGCACTGCTAAAGTGTCTCAGATTTATGCTTGACATTCCCCACGGTGTAAATTCTCCCGGGCGGGGTGGGAGCGGGGAAGCGCTACCCGTCAACGGGCATGGACTGCTCAAAGTCTGATCCGAACAACTCCTTGTACAAGGGGGGGAAGTGGGTGCGAACAATGTCTGGGTATATTGCTTTGAACGCCGTCAGCTTTTCTGTATGCCGGCTGCACAGGGCTCGCAGTGTGGAGACTCTGCATATTAACTGCAGAAAGAGAGAGAGAGAGATTTTAATTTGATGGAAAGGACCCTGTGGTTCTGGGTCAAAAGGCAAAAGGCAGCGCCTCTATCTGCAGACACAACACAGATGGTCCCAGGTTTTTCACATGACATTAGCTAATCTTTCGGCCGCCAGACCAAATACAGCTTTGTGGATGAAGTCATATACGAAATTCAAATTAATCCAATTGACATTCTTAATAAATGTCCCTGGCCCTATAATGCAAGGGTTTTAAACAGGGGGTCTCTGCAGAGAATTTACAAGAAAGAGAAAAAAAAAGTATTTACTTTTTTTCCCCAAAATGTATTATCACAACTGTCAAATTTAACACAATATTATTTAACACACTTAACAAACTGAATATTATGATTATTTCATTTTGCATTCTAATGACCAGTTGAAAATGACTTATGTGTGGTTATTGTTAACTAAAACTATAAAAAATTGTTTTCAGTAACTGAAATAAAATAAAATACATTTTTATTTCTATAAATATAAATAAAAATATTAGATGAAAAATAAAAATGTTGACTTGGCAAGTAACTGAAGTTAGTTACTTACTGAAAAACTAAAATTGAATAAAAATAAATTAAACCTAAATATAAAAAAAACAATAAAACTAATAAAAATGACAAAAGCACAACAAAATTATTAAAACTAAAATTAAAAAGAAAACAGGAAATATAAAAACAAAAGCCATTTCAAAAATGTAATACATTCTATAATAATAAATATAGAATTGTTATTATTATTACAATATTATAAATAATGTTAAAATAACACAGATTTAATTATACATCATTTATTCTATTTGCATCCCTAGTTTTTACCAGAAGGAAATAAAAACAAATATGTTTATTCATTTATTTTTTGGATTTATACATATAATTTTACTGTAATACTGGACAGAAAAATTATCTGTAAAATTGTAAACAAAGTAAATATTTTCAAGATAAATACTTAATAATTTGTATAAAAATACAAAATACTAAAATACTTAAAAATACAATAATTTGCTTTGGTATAATGGCAACATAACAGCCAATCATTTTATTTAGAAAATATTAACAATTTTTAATATTTTACACATTAGTTATTCAAATAACACAATACAGAAATTCAGAGGATTACATAAAAGAATATAATATATAAGATTATAGATGATACATCTAATGACATCATATCCTGTTCCTTATGTGTCCAGTACCTTTGTCAGTATGCCGTCCTCTCTCTGGTTCTTCTGTAGAACATGTTGGAGGGCCAGCTGGATCTTCTGCTGGAGTTTCTCCACCTTCACCTTCTCCTGGAGCCAGGATCGATCTAAGAACACACGGGGATGTTATACTTTCACATACACAATCTGAGCTGTCCCAACACCATTTCTCCTTTAGTCACAAATAGTTTTGAAGGTAAACAAGGGATTGTGGGTAATTTATGGGTATGCTTTAACACCGAGCCGGGCTCACCTGCAGACATCAACACGAAGGCGGAGAACAGGGCGATCTCGTCTTCAGAGAGGTGCATAGAACACAAGTTTTTCCCAAACTCGAAGACAGAGCTGATCAAGTCGTCACAACCTGTCACCGTGGAGACAGAGAGAAAGAAAAAGTCAGTGGGAAAAAAAAAAAAGAGGGTGGCGGGTGAGACAGAGCAGCAGACAGAGTCGGGTAGACACTTGATCTTTTAGCATGAGATGTCGGGGTGGCACAGAGTTAAAAACAATACAATCCTTTAGCATTACAGAATGATTTTTCCCGCCACATTTTTCCCCCTCCAGGCTAATCATGCTATGGCGAATGAGAGGGGTTACGTAACCATGACTGGGGTCACTAACAACACCAAATAAAACCCACGACTCACAAGAGGCCACAAGAGCTCACGCAAACACTGGGAGATAGTCTACAGCAGCAGTTCTCAAACTTTCCAAGCCAAGCACCACCGTTCCCTCGAATTTTGTCTTTCATTTTGAATGCAAGCATTAGGACTAGAGCAACATTCCATAATTTTCAAACGTGGAAAGATCGCACTAAATCTAAACACAAAAAACATCACTATAGTAACATTTAGAAAGGATTGCACTGTATTTGCATGAATATAACATTTGCAGTCCCGTTCAAACACATAAATAGTACACATTTTAACATTACATTTTTTTATTTTATTATTTTAAGAAATTAAAATTTTTATATCAATCATAGCTGGAAAACTTGAATATTGTTGGTCTTAGATGCACAAATCTATATTAGACTTGTAAATAAATCAGATACTAGAAATTAAGCATTAAAAATGGCAAATAATTTAAATAAAATATTCAAAGTTGTGTTGAATACCACCTGTTCACACATTTCCATATTATGTGGAAGAATCACACTAAAGCTAAAACACACAAACACCAGACAAGCAATATTTAGAAAGGATTGCACTGTATTTGCATGAATTAATACGCACATGCTGCATTATGTTTCAAACACATAAATAATAAATATAGTTTAGATGATTTTCCTGTTTAGAATCATATCTCGCCTTTTATATCGATTGCAGCTTGAAAACATTGTTGAACACAGTGCCTATTAAGTAATAATGTGAGTTTTAGATGCACAAATCTATATCAGACTCATAAATAAATTAGATATTGGAAATTAAACATTGAAAAATGCTAAATAATTTGTGTGTTGAGTAGTTTTCATACCAGTTTCAGAGCTACAGGTTTAAGCTTGGCGAACTCATGCAGGCTTGTTAAATGTGCCTCATATATGACAGGAATAAGATATAAGGCTGAGGATGTCCATGTGAGATATGACTGAATGTTGTCTTGGAGGCTGTGACATATTTATCTCTAGATTTCTCATATGTGTGTTTGTTTTGGCATTTGGACAGCTTTCAGGTCCAAAGGGTTTCCAATGTGAGTGCATAATGACAGAGAAGAGATTTCACTAATGTCACGGCATTCAAACATAAATGCTATTTGCTTACTCTAGGAAAATTCTACGCCCAGGCTACGGCTGCGTGGATGGCGGGTTTGATAAAACACTCCTGGTAGACACTCAATCTTGCTTATGCAGTTCCAGACGCCCACCATACGCAACAGGTACCGCAATCCTGAGCAGCATCCTCAGCGAGGAAAGTTTAACTCCAGGTGTGGCGGATATGAGAAGCTGGTGCCGACCTGGTGGGCTTTATTTGCTTGCGTACACACAGCGTCCAAAATTAACACTCAAGTGCCAAATCCGAGTAAAATTGCAATTTTATTTAATTTTAAAAAATGCATTTCATTCATTCATATTACCTCTTTGTATTTACAATATTGATTTAAATGTTAATTAGTTAAGTGTATAATTATTTATATAGAAATAATTATCATCATGTTTTTTTTAAGTAATATAGTTTTATTTATATATTTGCGTTGGCAGTTTTTGGATCCTGCATACAGGTGTGTGTACAAAACAATTTTGACGTTTCTTGCAGTTAGGCAAATTGGTTGGGTTCTGCCTGCATTTGAATGCTGTTGCCATGTGTGAAATGAAGCCTTAGTTGACAGTTAGAACAAAAAAGAACACAAATAAGCAAAACACTCACAATATGATATCCCAAACACAGAATTTCCACTTCACATACCAAATGCAATCGGCTTTCGTAACTCACCTAATGACTTAAAGACATCAGGCCCCGCATACTTTCCGTCGAAATAGACTGTGCTGTTCTGAGGGTCGAAGGCACGGCACATTCTGACGAACACCACCTCCAAAGAGCCTACGCATAGGCGAAAGAGAAACAAAATGTGATTTTATATAATCAAAAACAGGTATGCTTAGAAATATGTGAAGGCGAAAGCTTCTGTCTGCATTTTTCACAGTTTATACATGTTGCATTCTCAGCACTGCCACAAGGGGTGCAATAGTGAGAATTAGTGTAAACCGTCTTCTTCTACCAAGCTGTCGACATTTATAGTTAGCTATCTGAATGACAACACGTGGTTTAATGGTACAGACATTTGATGCTAGGTTTGTCATATAAGGTTAGTATTTTCATACTTGCTAGAAGAATGTTTCTGGCCATAAGCAGTGTGTTTATATCATAACGAGATTAGCTAAAACAGAAATATGTGAAGGTAAATGCTCTTTTCAGTTTATATGTTACATTCTCAGCACTGCCACAAGGGGTGCTATAATGAGAATAAGCATAAGGTTAGTATTTGCATACTTGCTTAAAGTATGTTTCTGGCCATAAGCAGTGTGTTCATATCGTAACGAGGAGCAGTATCATAAAACAGCTTTATTAACTCACCAATCAGATTTTTTTGAGCAGTGCTCTGTGTGTGTGTGTGTGTGTCTCAGGTGAAGTGTGTTTCTGTTATTGTTGTGAGTGGGAGCAGTAATTCTACAGTGGAGTGCTTTGGTGAGCACAGGCTTAGAGGATAAAAGCCACGTAATAGAAGCCATTACGGAGCTTTAGAAAGATGGCGGTGGTTTAAAATGTCATGTCAGGAGAGAGAGCTCACTCAGTATTTTGTTAATAATTTTGGTCGGGCCTGGAACAAACAGAAACACTGAAAGCTGTTGGGATCATGACAGGGATGGGGTGTGAGTGTGATGGAGCACTTTGGTCCATTATTTTGTGAGGAGATAGTGTGCAGTGGTGGATATCATCTCAATAATGCCTTATTTTTCAAAGAGCTGACAGATTGTCCCGATTACAGTTTTTCTGTATACACAAGAGATACTCGGCTGAAGCACTGCACGGCCTGCTGTGTGACATCGGCTGAAATGTTAAAATGCCTTAATTAATATTTTTCAGGAAAATCAAGAATTTTTTTTCCCTTCAGTTCATTCAGCACACCTGGTGAATAAAAAAGGTAATTGCATCTTTTTATCTCACAATTCGGATTTTGTTTCTCGCAATTCTGAGGAAAAAAAAAATTTTTATTGACACATATAAACAAAATTGTGAGAAGAAAAGTTTGAATTGTGAGAAATTAACAATTTCAAGAAAAAAAGAGTGAATTGTGAGATAAAAAGACGTAATTACTTTTTAAAAAATGTTTATTCCATTGCGCGAAAAAAAAAAAACTGAGATGTAAACTCAAAATTCAGAGAAAAAATTCAGTATTGCGAGATAAGTCGTAAGTCGTAAACTGAATTGCATGAAAAAGAGTCTAAATTCTGAGTTTATATCTCGCAATTCTGCCTTTTTCCCCCAGAATTATGAGTTTATCTCTCACAATTCTGTGTTCATGTCTCACAATTCTAAATTCTCAGCATTGTGAGAAAAAAATGTCATAATTGTGCAATGAAGAGCCACAATTACTTTTTTTTTTTTTTTATTCCCTTGGTGAAAAAAGGGCTTCTGTGGTATACTGCAAATTTTGCAAATGCATACTGTGCACATTATATATACTGCTAGCAGTATGCTAATCCGAATGTAGCCACAGGCAATGCAGCAAGGAATTAGTGGTGTTTACGCCCTGTAAACTAAGCCGGGATCAGATGATGGTGATGTGAACACACACTTTACCTGCTTTGAGAAGCACTATCTGATCATTCTGACAGAGCTCCATGAAGCCATCGATGCGCTTGGCAAACTCCACCACATACTGAATGGCCTCTGTGATTTTAATGGCACACAACTGCCACATGACTTCTCTGGGCTGAAGGGAAACAAAAGACAACTAGTTTCAACAAGCAGCCATATTCTTTACTAGCAGTTGAATTTTTTTTTTCCCTAAAGCACACTTATGTTGTTAATCAAGGCTTCTTGCACCAAAACAGTCATAATTCCGTTTTACATGACCATTTTATACCCTCTCACTGACCCTTAGAAAAAAAAAAACAGGATTTCATACTGTACATTTAACACATTCTGATTCTACATTTAACACATTCTAACCTCCACAAACTGGCATATTTTAAGAAAACAGTACTCTAAAGTAGCCACTTAAATGGTTGTTCATCTTATTAATGCAACCAGTCAGAACATTTTCGATCCCAAAAACATCACCTCATCAGTGGCCCTGCAAGTTAAGACATTAAATGGCAAAGATCCCTGCCCAAAGCTTCTGAACAACCATATGTGGCTCTTCAAGAACATGTGTGCTTACCTTGCTCTGGTAGCTCTCCACCTCCTCCTGAAGGAACGTCTGCCAGGTCATCTGCTGAAGTTCTTCTCTCAGGTACTGACACGTCTCCATGTGGGACTTGGAAATGTTCGGCGGATTCATTTATGATTACAGAAATGCTGAGGGAAAAGATCTTTCAAAAGATGCAGTGTTTTATTTGTGTCTCCAATCAAAGAGCTGCACTGTAGCGGTTTGTGATTTTAAGTCGATTTAGAAGCTTGTTGACCGTCTGTGTTTCTGTGCAAGAGGAAAATAGGGAAGTACTTCAAGTATAAATGTGAGGAGTGTGTGTAAATTCATGGCAACAAAGGTCATATTTGCTTTCAGCAAGAACGAGCTAATGGAAATGAGAGAAAGAAAAAAAAAAAGTATAAAAATTCAATCATGTTGAAAACACATCTGTTAAAAGGAGTCCCAGAGCAGGAGGGGAAGCTAAAAAAAATGATTTCCCTTGGCGCATGCCCTGCTGGATCCTGATTGGCCCTAATTAATGGAAACTAATTAGAAAAAAAGAGGTTCTGTTAATGAGTCTTTGAGATGAGTCTCCAACCTAATGCTATTTTAAGACACCTTTAGCGACGTTTGCCCCACGGTTGGGTTCTTCCCCCTAGTACCATCCCTTACCCATCCAGAATTATCACTTACCCAACTCGGCCATGGAAACGGTGGGGGATGTCTCCCCATTTGTGAAGGAACAGTAGGGGAAGAAGCCCGAGCCCGGGGTAAAGTCGCAGATGGGTTCTGGCTTGATGCCGTTGATGTCCAGGCCGGACTGGTCGGGCGAGGGTTGGATGTCCAGGTAAAAGCTGCTGACGCCCGAGTCGGGCTTGGTGCCGTCGGGCGTGTGGCCGTTCATGTAGCCGCTCAGGTCATCGTGGAGCTCGGTCAGGCCATTGGTGGAGAGGCCGTAGGTTGGGGTAAGGGGCTCTGCCTCACCGGGCTGCTGCTGGTGGTCCCGCTGTTGCTGCTGGAGCCGGTGTTTCTGCACTTCCGCATAGAGGCTGTCCCGCTGTTTCTTTGACATCCGGCCAAACTTCACCGCTGTAAGAGGCAAAGACGGTGCATTAAGAACAGAAATCTCTCACAAATTATGAACGCTTCCCTAAATATAATCAAATGCATTCAGAAAAGGTCTAACTAGGCTGGCGGACCAGCCCTATCTTATGAAAAAAACAACTATTTTATGAAGTGGCAATTTCGTATGAATTCATTGAAATGTATGGGGTTTTTCTTCAGCATGAAAGTCCTCCCCTAAAACTAACCATCAGTGGGGAATAAGCAGATCATACGAAAATGTACAAATGAGACAATACGAAAATTTACAAATGCAAAGTCATGCAAACTAGTCATCAATTCGTCAAAATGTACAATAGTTAGTCTAACTAGGCTGGCGGACCAGCCCTATCTTATGAAAAAAACAACTATTTTATGAAGTGGCAATTTCGTATGAATTCATTGAAATGTATGGGGTTTTTCTTCAGCATGAAAGTCCTCCCCTAAAACTAACCATCAGTGGGGCATAAGCAGATCATACGAAAATGTACAAATGAGACAATACGAAAATTTACAAATGCAAAGTCATGCAAACTAGTCATCCATTCGTCAAAATGTACAATAGTTACGAATTGCCTTGAGAGTGCGCTGGGTTGACTTGTTTCTCTGACTTCGATAAACTGAATGCGCTTATTACAGGGACACTCCCTTTGGTGCAACGTAAGTTTAAGTGTCTTTGGGACAACGGTGGTGGCGCATAGCTCACTGTTTATGTTGATCAAACCAGCAACCTTTTGGCTACCAACCACCACACCAAAACAGCACATGATGACTTCACTCTATAGCCATTGTTACTGAAAAAACAACAAAAGGCACAATCTCTTTTCCCTGAAGACTCTGGCCTTTGAAGGGAAGCTCAGTATAGCGACATGGAGAGTACAATTAACTCCTGGGAGCAGGTTTTAATGTCTCTCAAAGGGTATTAGCGGTGTATTGGGTCAAAAAAAGCTCCACTTGGTAATAGCATTAGCTTTCTCCTGATGTCTACTTGCCAAAATGATCCAAGAACAGAAGACCTGACTAGCATGAATCGTCAATTTACAAGCACTCACAAAAAGGAACGGCCTTCACTCGCAACACCTGGAGGGAGTGGCAGAGAGTCTGTTTAGCTTAGAAAGAAAGAGCTGCTACAGCTTCAGTCTGTTTTTGAACTGGAGGAGTGTTAGAAGAACAGGAAGCTGGGGATGAGATACATTGCGGATCAGATATAAGTGGAGATCAAGTGTTCATAAAAAGGAAGGGCACCTAGCAGAGGACAAGCTGATCTACTGATGGATGGAAAAAGAGATAAATGTACTGGAGAGTTTAGTGGAGAATGAAGGGGAACAAGGGGCTTTGACTGTTGGAGACGAGAGGAGACCAGAGCAGAGAGGACGAGACATAACGAAAGAGGAGGACAGGAGAAGAGACAACATGTGAGGAGAGAAGAAAAATGAAAGGCGTAAAAGAAAGGGAAGGAGACGAGTGAAGATCAGAAGAGAGGAAATGAGACGGTGAAGGCGGGAGGAGACTTGAAGTTGCGATCTGAAAAGAGGAGAGGAGAGAAAAACTAGAGGACATGTGAGACTTGAGAGGAGACAAGATGAGACATGAGGAGACAAGACAAGATGTGAGGAGAGCTTCGGATAGTAAAGGAGACGAGATAAGATATGGCAAGGACAAGAGACAACACGGCAGGACTGGAGACAAGTTGAGACATGAGATGAGGAGATCAAATAAGACCAGGCTTGACTTGTGATGAGGAGACAAGATGAGATTTGAAGACAGAGGAGGAGACGAAACATGAGAAGAGGAGAAAATTAGATTTGAAAAGAGGCCAGGAGAGGAACAAGAAGAAACAAGAGAGAGGAGACAAGAAGAGAAAAATCAGGAACAAAGTGAGAGGTAAGGAGTCAAAGTGAGATTTGAAGAAAGAAGTGGAGAAATTAGAAGAAATGAGACAATGAGAAATAAGATTTGATGAGTGGGAAGAGTTGGAAATGAGAAATCAGATTAAACAGGAGGAGACAAAAAAATGTTTGAAAAAAGATGAGACAAAACTAGAGGAGAGGAAACAAAGGTTAAGACATGCAGAGCAGAGACAAGACGAGACATGAGGAGACGAGTGAGGTTTTTAGAAGGGGCACAGGATCAACGCTGAATATGAGGCATATGAATGACTCAGAGTGGAGGCCTAACGTCATCTCAGACATGTGTGTGTCTGGGTAGCTCTGCGTCTCTGTGCCCATGAAAGGAAGGCAGATGGGACTGGTGATCTTCAGTCAGAGTGAAGTCAGAAGTCACCTTGCCTGTCCTGGTTGTGTGTGAGAGAGCAGCCCGGTAGACTCGGAAGACCTGGCCTGATTTCATCCTCCTGTCACGGGCCGTAGTCACACAGCCCAGCCGGAGGCCCAGTAGGGGGCCTCCACACACACACACACACACACATACCATCACCTATGCTCCCGTTAATGCTGCTCACCTGCATTGGCTTTAATGAGCCTGTTTTAATGATGCTCATTTAATAAAAGCTACTTGCTGTCAGATTCTCCACCCTGAGTGAGCATGCCCCGCAGTCCAGAACCACAATTGCCTCTTAAATTCATCTTGTCACAAGTTTGGTGAAAAATGAATGAGTAATGGGTGCCGACTACAGAACAGGTACTCTAATTTATATGACATGGGAAGACTGGGGAAAAAGGAAAGTAGTGAATAAAAGTAGAAAAAGACTAAACATATTCCATTACTTCATCATTTCATTAAAGTTCAATCAATCTATCTATCTATCTATCTATCTATGTAATGTTATAATAATAATAAAATACACTAAATATAAAATAATTTAATTATTCACAGATGCATCCTGTGATGCCTTTATGTCCCACTTTTGGACAATGTTGGTTGAAAAATTTTCCATGATATGTCCCCCTTTTACTCTATTCATTGCACTCAAGGTTTTCTTTAACCATAGCTGGAAAAACACTCGCTGTCAGGTTGCACGTTTACTTTACATGCTGAACTATTTGGTATTTTGCATGCATTTAATGTTCTGTATCTGTGGAGACTCTATTCTCCCTCTGGTGCCTGCTGTACTGGACACGGGCTTACCGTCACGTGACATGCCCACGGTCAGACACTTCTGCAGCCTACAGTGCTGGCAGCGGTTCCGGCTGGTGCGGTCAATCAGGCAGTTCTTCTGACGCGGGCATGAGTACGCCGCATTGCTCTGCTGACTCCTCCTGAAGAAACCCTACGGGCCCGAGAGACAGAACGAAAGAAGGTTAGTTAACCCATTCACAGCTCAACCATAAGGATGTGTTATATTCTGCTGGCCCAGTAAGGCCACTAGTAAAAAAAATTTATTTTTAAACGTGGAAAAAAAATCTTTACAGTTAATAGTAATAATAATATTTATATAACAATTATTATCTGATAAATTAAATTTTTGTATATTATAGCATTTATATAAAAATATTTATATATAATATTTAAAATATTTATATATATAAAAAAAAAACATTCTAACTTTAGCCTCTAAGACATCACAGATTTTTCTTGCAATTTTGAACCAAGCCTCATTTATGTTAGCCATGTATTTATGTTAGAAAATCAACCAAACAATTTTTCTTTTAAATGGGCATTTGTATCAGGCTCCTATATTTAGGTTCAGTAATTTCACTTTAATGACAAAGAAAAGATTATTAGTCGGTTACTGAATGCCTTATTTTCAAAAATGTCCTTTTATTTTCATAGGAGCCTGATAACCCCCCTCCAAAAAAAATCAAAGGTCGGACAAAAGAGAAAAATCTCAAACAAACTTAGAGGTTTTTGAATCTAGAGTCTTCAATTCGTTTTTTTAATCGTTTTTTTTTTTTAGTTTTAATTATAACCCTGGTGAATTGACCTCAAATGGATGGACATGTTTCTATACCTTACAAGCGCATATTTCACATGAAGTTCTCAAAAGAACAACATGTCTGTGGCAAACTCTGAACAGATGGTGGCAACTCTACAAACGCTTGTCTCGATCATATAGACGTGTTCATCTTTAGTCGAGATACAGCTGAACAGCACATATTTCACCGAGGTAACTATAAAAAGCAGTTTGGAACGAGTATTTTTCCTCATTAAGGATTGGCACGGCGAGTTCAGAGACGGGCGAGAAAGGTAGTAAATAATGGCGAGTTTGTGCGAGGTTATTAATGTTGACTAAAAGAGCCTGAACCGGGTGCCGCGAGGGGGGAAGGAGCAGGCGCCCACGTTGAGTTGATTTCTCATCCCTTTGACTTAATGAATTGATTCCAGCTCATCATTAACACACCCCACTCCACAGCTCCATACACATATGTCTTAATTAGTTGCTCATTGGCTGTTTAATTACTAGAAAACAGCTGACAGCTGCCAAGTTGCTTTCTAATGGCAGCCATTATGAAAGCGGGGTACGACTGCCGGTGACAAGCAGCGCTCCTTAATAATGCTATGATTTATGGGCTGGAGCGGTGTGCTCGCACATATCATTAGATGTCTCTGTGCCTCGAGTAATTAGTAACCATTAAAGATACATTTCAGCAGTTTATTCTTCAGGGTTGCGCGTTTCTGCCGCTGAGTGAGTGACGGAGGAAGATGCTGAGCAGAGAGTCTGTCTATTGTGCGGGAAAACAAAAAACACGCCGTTTAGGAGCCTCGTCCGCACGTTCGTTTCTGCCGAGCCTGCTTGCGGAATGCTAACGAGTCGCTCCGGTGACAGGCAGCAAACAGGAATACACAATAAGCACAAAATTCCTCTTTGCTGAGTGGACGGCGTGTTTGAAAAATGCACAAAAAGAGGAGCTTCGGTGAAAACGAAGGGGGGGGAGGACATGGTTCCAAAACTGCTAACGACGTGCTGTGATCCAAAGCGCTTCCTTTTTTGACGGTTTTATTAAAAAAGTGCAGCAGAAGGTAAAGAAAGACAAGACACAGGGATTATATTGTTGTTGTATTGTAATTGTGACGATTTTAGCAACATTTCAACCTGACTATGTGAGTTAACACTCTGGAGTGTGAATTCTGTAAGTCCTGTAAGCACAATAGTACATTTTTCTTGCTTAGAAAGACGATAATCCGAAAGATACTTCTCTGTTATTTTCCAGAATGTCTCATTTGTTGGCTTTTTCTTTGTCACACACACGCTGACAGGGTTGTTTAGCTTCTTACCTTGCAGCCCTCACACGTTATCACGCCATAATGGATGCCTGATGATTTGTCTCCACAGATCTTGCAGGGAATTATTTCGATTTGAGCTGCGGAGAAAGAAAAGAGAGAAGATACTGTCAGGATTTTTCACTGTCACCAGTCACCGCGCAACACCTCCTCCACGGCTGCATGTTGTGACATGAAACGGCGCCGAGCTTCAAACACATCACGTCCCTGCCACCCTCGGCTGCGGCGTGTTTGGAGGAGGCCATCCTGACTTTAAACAGAAAACCCTCAAAAAGCACAGCAAACGTGATGTCAGACTGTGATTTAGAAACAAATGCAATCGCAATAAAGCGCCACTGTTCCCCGCAGAGCCTTTGGGCAGTGATATCAGGAGAAACCCAACCTATCCACCACTGGAATATCGGTTCCATGCTGCTTGTTCAACTTAAAAAATGCTAAAACTAAGTGGATAATTTTGTCACCATGAGACGCAGTCCAAGAGGCCTAGTGCTGACACAAAGAGAAGATGATAATAAGAAGGTTTGAGTGTTTGGAAAAACACAACTACATCTCTATAAAGTTTAGAGTGAAGAAAGGCTTTTTTACTACATTTAAAAGGATATTTACCCCCCCAAAAAAACATGTTGTCGTCATTTACTCTCCCTCATCATTGGAAACCCATGTGACTTTTTCTTTTTTCTTTTTTTTTGTGGAACACAAAAGCAGATGTTTAGCAGAATGTTCACGCTGCTCTTTTCCATACAATGAAAGTGGATAGTGACCAAAAACTTAAAAGTATCTAAAAGCAGTGTATGTGCTACATTACAAATCTTTTGAAACCACATGACTTAAGTTTACATTTATGTATTTAGCATACGCTTTCATCCAAAGCAACTTAACATAAGTTATTTACTTGGCAGTTATGATTGGTTTTGAGACACAATAACCAATAACATTTGCCATTATTGATGTCGACCCTAGCGTGACATGATTTGATATCTGAATATACATGAATGTTAATGAGATTCGAGAGCTGCAGCAGAAAATGTATTCTTCAGACTAATCTACCCCATAACTTCAGAGAAGTTAGAATATAATTAGAATACAGAATATAGCAAGTTGGACAGCTTTTACTGAGCTTTTTGACAACCCATAGTGCCTGTTCACTTTCATTGTATGGAAAAGAGCAGCGTGAACATTCTTCTAAACATCTCATTTTGTGTTCCATGTGAGAAAGTCAGTCATACAGGTTTGGAACAACATGATGAAACAACAAGATGACAGAACTCCTATTTATAAATGAACTACTCCTTGCAGATATTGGTTCCGATAAAACCTGGCTCAAGTTGCTTAAAAGACTACTTGATAAAAGTCAGTTATCTCAAAGCAAAGGCCACGGCAATAGAATCACATCAAAGGACCTGAACCAAAACTTTGGCCATTGCAAAATAGACCTTAACATGCAAGAGCTTCACTCTATATTCAGCCGGATTACAGCTGAACAGTCGCTGTTTAATGTAGCCTAAGCATTTTATTTCTACTTGACAGAAATTGCTCCCTCTAGTTCTCTTAGATCCCAAGCCAAAGGTCCCCGCAGCTACTTGCCTACCTCCAGCCAAAATACTGTGGCTTGATAATATTTTAGTGAAACCTATAAATCCAATCGTACGGAATTAATTTGCACGCATCAAATTTGCCACCACTGAGTGACGTATCTGCAGCGGCCCATTTCATCATCTGCCTTCGAGCTCCTGTTGTGTCATCTGGATAATGTCAATGTCGCGGCCAAGGGTCTCTCTCTCTTAGTCTCTCTCTGTCAAATGATCCACTAACCCTGTATGCTGACAGCCAGTGCACCGTCCATTTGGTCAACATGTCTGTAAACAGCATAACAGTGTGCATTTCAAGTTGGCCGGCATGGCAGTTGCTGATATAAACGGTTTTATCCTCAGGAGAGCTTCTTCACTAGAATTGCCAGATTTGCTAATTCATATTACAGATCATGTTATTTTATCATTAATGGAAATTATAATTATTTCTTCTCTGTTGCGTTGCACAAAAAAAAAACTTTTAGCCGGAGAGAAGCAGGTACACTTGCTGACAAAGCTCGTGCCACATCAGTCGATGACTTGGGAAGTGAAGAGGGCATAACGCTGCGCTGGGCACTCAGGTTTGGGTCCGCCTAGTGCCAATTCTCACTCTACTCTCCCTCTCGCCAGGCCTCCACATGAAACACTCACAAAGCTCTTTGTCTCCTGCCTGGCTCACGCTGTGGGTTGCCGTGCTGGATCGGAGCTTCCTTTGTCTACGGAGAGCGCTAAACCAAAATTGTTCTGCTGAAAAAAAAAAAATCCTCACAGCAAGATTAGGACGGGGAGTAATTTATCCAGCTCCAGTACAAACACACTCGCCTAATAACATACACTGTGAGATATTCAGTTGCTCGAACCTTTCCACATGTTTACAGGATGGTATTTGCCAACATTAGATAACTGAAAAACCTCTAGGGAAAAAATATTATGGTATTACTATATTTTTATATGCTGCCATGTCATAGTTTTTATGGTCACTATCATTGCGGTAATACATATATACATATATATGTATGTATGTATGTATGTATGTATATGTATTACTACTACTTATTATTATAATATTGTATTGTGATTCTGTCCCTCTTTCTCAAACCGGTCAATAGCCTAGCAGCAGCATTTTGAGCAAGCTGCAACCGATTCACCAGTGACTGAGACATTCCAAAATACACAACATTACAATAGTCCAGTAGATGATATAAAAGCATGGATGATCGTCTCCAAATCTCTAGATGAGAGCATTGATTTTATCTTAGCTATTAAGCTTAAGTAGTAGAAACTAGTTTTCACCACAGTATTAACTTGTTTTGCAAAATTCATCTCTGAATAAAAAAAATACACCCAGATTTTTTGCGTATGGATGAAGATTTCTAGAGAGGGGCCCCAAATAACTAGAAATAAGGGGCGAATAGCTAAGAGGGCCAAAAACAACAACATCCGTTTTGCTCTCATGAGAGGAGAAACTTCTTAGCCATCCAGGATTTTACATCCTCAAGACACTTAACAATAGTAGAACAGGACTTATCAGCTGGGTGTAATGGGACATACAGTTGAGTATCGTCAGCGCAGCAGTGGTATGCAATGTCATATTTCCTAAAAATAGACCCCAAAGGTAACATATACAGAGAAAACAGAATTTCTGTTGGACCTAATATGAACCCTTGTGGGAGCCCGCATGATAGAGGAACTGAAGGAGATGAATAATATATATATATATATATATACAGTATCTCACAGAAGTGAGTACACCCCTCACATTTGGAAGAAGCGAATGCAGGTCGGCGATCATATCCAGCGCTGCCAGAGGAACCACTGAGAATCCCTGGTATCTCAGGGCGCTATCTGGGATGTCCCTGGTAGCTCCGGTTGGTAAGAGATGCAATCGACGGTAGTTTTCCACAACCGCGAACTCGCTAGTCTCTCATGTTGCGCATAAGCGCTGATTCGTGAGAATCAGACGTGCAGTTCAGTTATCCGACGATACGAGGGGAAATTTCTATCCCCTCACCCTCAAACAACTTTATACTAACCCTAAATCAGTTCTCTTTTCGATAACTGTCATAGGATGGTATCTTTACCCATTAGATTAACTCGATGTTTTTTTCTTCCCCTAGCCTCTCTTCTTTTCGAGTTTCCGCCCCTCCAGTCTTCCACCAATCCCATCCCATAACAACCGGTAAGTACTTTTAACTTAACAATTTAACATACCTTTTTTCCTTCTTTAATCAAATGAACTTATAGGGAAAACAATACACATAAAACATAAATATAAAATATTAGAAAATAATATTAAAGAAACATTAACCAATCAATGAAATTAAACTTCAACTGGGCTTCACAAACAAAAAGTAATAAAAAATAGAACAAAATTAAAAATAAAGACCGCAAGTGACGTCGCTAGCGGAAGCGCAAGTGTCTGAGAGTACAAGTCTGAGAATGCAAGTCTGAGAGTGCAAGTGCAAGGCTGCAGCCAGACCCTCTTGACTTTTGTGGCCAGCGGTTTAGACAGTAGTGGCTGTGTGTTGAGTTATTTTGAGGGGACAGCAAATTTACACCGTTATACAAGCTTTACACTCACTACTTTACATTGTAGCAAAGTGTCATTTCTTCAGTGTTGTCACATGAAAAGATATAATAAAATATTTACAAAAATGTGAGGGGTGTACTCACTTCTGAGATACTGTATATATATATATACTTTATTATTTTTATTATATTTTGTATAAGAAAAATGTGTATACACACGCACGGGGCAATTTTCTCATATAACTACATTGTTAACCCTTCAGAAAGCATATTGTGCTTACTGAATAACATACTAAATAATAATAATTATCATATTGATGATTAAATAATCACAATACGCTAAAAAGTTCATAATAATACTTGCATTATTATTATTATTATTATTACTACTACACAATGTTCTCATAAATACATTAACCCGTTAAAGAGCAAACTGTGAAATCATCATCATCATCACAATAAGCTTTCTAAAGAGTTCACAATGTATTTATTTGCAAAAATGTCAATAGTCCCAATATTAATAATAGTATTATTTTACACATTTTTCTCTCATAAATACATTAACCCTTTCAAAAGCATACTGTAACTTAATAATAATAATAACAATAGACATTTATTCTCAAATAGATACACGACATAGGCTAGGTTATAAAATCAGACAAGAATTGGACAGATACTGCATATCAGACAGTGTTGATGCCATACACTGCTGCTGGTCAAGATGGGCTCAGCCTACGGGCTACATCAAAGACACCACAGACACACACAGAGTTGTACTGAAATGAAATGAAAGCTAATGAAAGCGCACAGTAAAAGGGCACAGAGCCACGGTAATGTTAAAAATTAAACTCTGCACTAAATGACTCCCATAGAGCCTACATTGTAATGAGAAAGAGCAAATCTGATGCAGCTTGTTAGTTCGGTCCTCTCTGTTGTGACTTCCTGGAGCCCACTTCAAGGTCACTGAGTCAGAGCTGACAGCG